AAAAAAAATATAGGTCTCCAGGGAATATTTAACATAGAGTTGAAAGCTCTGTCAAATATTTGTACTTGAGCTAATCAGGTCCCAATTTAATCAACACACACTTAAAGTCATCGCCATTTTAAAACAGTTGCTGTCTACCGAATTTCTGAAGTATCAAAAAGAAAATCGTTGTGAAAGGAGGAAACAATTTCATTATGGATATACATTTCAGTAAATCGAGCAACTGACTCTTTAAATACGGTCGCACTAAAAAATTTCAAAATGCCACATACATTAAAACATGCCTTTTAAACATAGTCTTATATATAAATTACTTGTAATAATAAGCTAACTGGTAATTTCAATTCGTATTTCATAAAGTACTTAGGCAAGTTTCATAAGCCGAACAACATCGATCCATATGAATTCGTTTACCCACATAAGAAGAAATTATTCATTGTTTATATTCTTGTTTCTGAAAATTATTATTCCGTCTTAATTCACTGATTAACTACTTGTGGAAAACTTCAGTTTCCACAATTATTGATTATTTGAGAACATTTTCGTTGTTTATCCAACTTGTCATCACCGTTTTATCTATTTTTCTTTTAACTTTACGATGTGATAGGAGTGTGTTTTACATTTTCGTTTTCATGTGAAATATATCCTGGGTTTTCCTGAGTATATATATATATATATATATATATATATATAGAGAGAGTATCGGTTTAAACATGACGTATATATTAAACGCGTAGAACGAAACATTCAAAATAATTGAAATAAAAGAACTGACTATAAAAATTAAAAGTTAATGAATATTGACTGTTGTAGTTCATTTTGTCTTTCAGTTACCTTGCTTAGACTAGTGAACACTAAAACTGCATAAAACCATAATGTTTTATTGAATAGTTTGAATCATCAGTTTTGATATCGATATATTTTTTAAACATGCCTACAAGCTATACGTCAAGGAGCACCTTAGCTTAATAAGTATGCATCAAATACTTTTTTATACTCCTAGACGCGTTTTTCACTAACGGTGGAACATTTTTTTTGAAAATCTTCGTCATCGAAATCGTGACTCCATTACAGTTCTGCAGTAATGCAATAGCCTTAGAGTAAATCATACAACTGAGACCGTAAGAGAGAATTTCGAACATGAACCAGTAAGAAAATCTCAATAAAGCGCATCATATAATAAAATTAGTTCGTTATAGCAGAAACACATTTATTTGTTAATACCCAGGCATAATGATTTACTTCGTAAGTTTTTTCACAACAAATATTCATTGCTTACACTCTGTCTCGAAAGCTAAGAACGATGTTTTATTTCTGACTCTACATCTGTAACACAACTGGTAAGGTTAAATAAAAATTATGATTGTGAAAACACGTTTTTCGAAATGTCATAAATATGCTTGTTTTTTCAAACGTAATTGTTTGTGAACAATTTTAAAACGAAATTATAGGGCTGAAATGGGCGCCCGTGAACTAGTGATAAGAATGATAACAAGTAGTCGAAATATGTTTCTTCCTTTTTAGTTTATCTCGATTTTCCTTCAAATCAAACAGTACTGCTTACACTAAAGAGGAAGAATGGATTTGTAAAATCTCAGCGAAAGAATTTGAAGTGAATCGAACGTTTCGTCTGGCAATCTGGTCCAAGCTTTTTTACAGTTTAAAATTCACATTTATTATAAATTCATCAATAAACCGTTAAACATTTATACTTCAAGTCAATCCAAAGGTATCAACGTTAAAGGGATCTTTAATAGACGTGAATGAATATGTAAATTTAAAACTAGGATTGAAGTGATCAGTCTTTCTCGTATAGCGATCTAATAAGTCAAACTTTCGACAGTATTTGTAAAAATTGGTTTCCCACTTTTTCTCTGTTACCAATGATCACTAATTATGAGCTAAAATACAAGGACGCTGATATTTGATTCTAATTGATCTCTTTGTTTTCATAAAGACTACTACATAGAAGGATTTGGTTTATTGAAATGATATTTGTAATTTCGTTTAATATACTTTTCAGTTCAATCTTCCAGGATGCTTTTGTAACTTGGTTTTGGACCAATTTTTTGTCCTATTTATCGAACGACTTGCGGAATTTCTGGTAAAGTATGATTCGTTTAACTCTCAAACTTTATGACTTTCTTCAGTTCACATTATGATCAGGAAGTGTCAGATTTCTTGAAAGTAACGTATGTTTGATGTACGAATCGTATTTCTCTTGTCCTAAATGGTAAAAGGGACGACTAAAAAAACGAATATGCAGAATGTGAGACTGTCTAAAATATATTGTCATCTAACACCAAAAGGCTGAAAATAAAACTGACAAGAATCGACGTTTTCTGGTTTAACAAGAGATAGTTTCAAAATTATGAATGACATGAGTTGTTCCCGCACTTAACTTCAAGTGAAGGAAGAACTAATAAACCTTTGTATGATTTTGTATGCTAACTGAATATACACTGTTTTCATGGACATGGTATATGCGTTAGTAACTAGGGTCATTATTTCTCGCCTATTTAATTATTTCGTACGTCACAAGATACTACTTAATAAATTCAGTAGTCGACCTAAATTTCGAAGAATTGCAGCTTATAATGTGCAGTGAACCTTGATTGTTATGTTATCACTGTGTTTTCACTGTAATGACCACTGCCTAATAATTGTAACTGTTATCTTCGAATTCTTCATACTCACTGAACCCTTGTTTAAGTGCAGTTGTTACTAGCTATTATTCAGATTACTATTTGTTTGTAAATTATCTTCATTTAAATATCTGTCATTTTTAGATGATATATTGATACGTAGAACGCTACATTCACATAATTTGTGATCATAATACCGTCCCCCAGGCAATCTCTTCTCTTTGAATAGGAATTTAACCACTCACTGTTGAACCTTGTTGAGGAACCGTACCATTTTATTCGATAAGTACATTATTTAATTTCCACTTTAAGTGTATGTCCAATCATGTTGAAGCATTACAGAACAAACATTATGACGCGATTAATGTATTTTTGCCTCTTCATGGAAGAGAGCGAATTCCTTGAAATTACGTGACGTATGTATGAACGATAATGTATGACTAACGAGTATTTCTGACAGTATATATTGTTCATCTAAAAATACATTCCACGTTTTATGATTTCCATCTGGTGATATCTTGTTTTACGACGTTTTGTTAGTCACTATTTTTTGTTCTCAGATTTAAATAATTACACATGGAACTATTCTTAACAGTATAAATTATCCTGATGTATTCTGTGACGAAAACCTATAGGGATGTGTTAGAAGCTTTGAATCAACTAGTAGAAGGCTTGGACATCATTTTCGTTGGTACATGATATTACTGGCTTGAAAAGTGCTTACGAATTCTATAAATCGTTAACTACTTAAAAAATGAATAATTACTTCTTTAACTTTTTTACACTATTTCATCTACTGAATTTTCGTTTTCTGACAACTGTTTAATCTATTTCAACGATTCTCACGACTCTTCCAAAGTACTCGTATAAGTTTGTCGTTTTTACTGAGCATATATCTTTACAAAACCCATGCCACTGCACAACCAAAGCTTCAGTAACATCTGCGAATGTTGCAGCCAATGTTACTGATGCTTCTGTTATCCAGTTGGCAAAAATTACCATAATTTACTTAGGTCTCAATCTGGATCGAGCAAAAAGAGTTCATATTCCATCAGATTTCCTGCTCCAACATATATTACATTGAAAAGCAGCATCATCATGGTAGTCTGCACAAGGTCTACAAGTCATTTCATTGGCACAATTACAAATAAAGGAACTTCTTAGTTGTTCAATTTGTTGTAGCCGCTCAATTATCACGTCTTCTCTAATATCCGCTGTGGACCGATCGTATATGAGCATCGGGTACAGAAATAGGCACTGTGACCTTGAAATCCCTCAAACGCTACTGATTGGCTCGTACATAAATTATAATCTTATAGTATCGGTTACTATGTTAACCCCACATAACTTATTCTGGCTTCTGGACAGGTTAATTTATCCATTCTTCTTGAGTCACGTTTTGACCTTGATAATCGTTCACTAATCGACCCTGACTGTTTCTATATGAGCATATGTGTGTGTACATCTTATCCTACTCATCACATTTCTGTAGTTTATTTTTGTGTAACTATAAATATCGACTAATACTTGAATAAATCGAGTTGGCTCACACGCCTTCTTCATTCAACGTCATTTCACTTCGCTCTCTTCTCTTCGCTTTTTCAATCTGCTTCGTTCTTCATTCTTTGTTTCTTCTCTCTGATTGCCTGTTCAAATCAATGAATGAATGAAATATATATATTCAAAATCCATTCTCGTATTTGGCTTATATAATCCCGTTACTCACTAACGCGATTTAAGTCGAAAATAATATACGAGAATAGTCAGGATGCATATTTTGACAGCAATCATTCAATAACAAACATTTGTCCACTTTTAGTGGAGTCAGATCCAGGGCCACTAAAGTCTCACCATATATAGGCCTAGGTGTATTGGACTGAGTGTAAACTGAATGCCATTCCACTATTTGAATGCTATCGATTATACCAGTCAGGTGTGTATTTCTGACAGCTTGTGTTTTCATCTTATTTTTTAATGTAATTGGATAACAAAAAGTAGCACATATATTGGAGCAGCCAGTAGAATTATGTTAATTATATAGTTTTGGACAACATTTTACGATATTTTACATGTAAAAAACAATTGCATTGAATTGTTAACTTTAAAATCTTACGAATATTTTCCATCTTATTACACCAAAAACTTCTAATCATACATAAACTCTTTCATATACATTAATTCATTGTCAATGGACATGTCAACCTATGAGTAAACTACTAGCCCATATGAATAACACTAAGTGGTCATGATTGTAAAGACCGAGGTTATAAGAAGGTCATCTAAAATTCAAGCAGCCACGAAACTATTAATCACTCAGAGGATAACCAGTCGTATATATATATATATAATTGTTCATTTCATTTTAATTAAAAATTATATTCTTTTAATAAACAATTATTTGAATTTGAAAAAAAAAACATTATTATTTATCATTAACGAATGAAAATCCGTTATTTTTGATATTAATCATTACTTCATGAGATCAGTACAGCTTAATGTGTGGTTTTAATTAAGATAAGTAACTACATGAATGAACAATTGTCGAGATTATTTCACACTTCTCAATAATGTGGTATGTGGTATTTATTGTATAGTAAAACATTTCATAGATATGAATAATTGTTAAATAAGAAATGAACGCTAAAATAGTTAACCCAATGAACATGCCTATTTGGATGAACAAATGAATACTAGGCATTTTCACTCTATGAAAACTAAATAATTGGATATTGTTAACAATTTTCTATGTTATGACAAGCCTAAATTTGGTTTCTGTTTTTGTTCTTTTTACAACTTGACCAATTTATCATTTGTCAAAAAAAAAACAATAGACTTTCTGAAAAGTACTTAGTTTTGTACGATAATAAGAATCTGAGCATGTATTAACAATCTGTTTCATTAACATAGTAACAGGAAAGAAATTTAATCAACAGATAGATTACTGTACTTTCTTGAAATGATTTTATTTAGTAGACCACATTATTTTAGGAACCTCAGAAATAAAATAAGATGATGATTGAAGCGATGAGGGTGTTGTGGATCTAGGATGACCAATAGATTTTCCAGAACTCGTTTTCGTTTCCGTAACAGTGTTCTGTTTAAATGTCGAGATCTCTCGCAACAAATCAGTTTTATGAGCACCGTTACAACTGATATTGGTCAATGAGTTTACCGAATTAAGTTTACTTTGTTCAATAGTTCTTGAACCTTGAATTGTGTTTACGTTTTTAGTATAAGATGGTTGTATTAATGGAAGCTTTGGTTTAGTTGCTATTGGAACTTTGTCATTATTTAGTTCCGTATTACAATGAACTTTGTTCATGGAGTTATCGAAATCTTTAAAATTTTCCGGTGGAGGAATAGTATTGTTCGTTGGTAAAATACCAGATAATGTCTGAAAATGTAGTTTTTCTGCAGCTGTTTTAAATGACTTTTCATTTGATGAAACAATTTCTGCTTGTTGTTTTAAAGTTCTGGTATTATTCTCTGTATACGTTGTATTATGACAACTTTTATTAAGTATTGATTCAGAATCATGGTCATCCTCTCCAGAAGCCATTTCAATCAGACGACGGCGTTCAGCTACTGCCCTTCTAAGGTTATCTTCAAAAGATGTTTTCTTAACAGTCTGTGATAATGAAAAGCTTTTGTAAGCAGTATGATTATTAATGTCATAGCCATTAGAATTCTGTTGGCAATTAGAGTGCCGAGTCGCCGGTTCAGTAACATTTAATTCAAATTCCTCTGGAGGCGGGGGTGGAGGGAGTAAGAGCTGATCTGACCAAATATCCTGGTTCCGAGCATCTTCTAAATTTTTAGACGGTTTAATACTTTCTGAAAACTTATCATGTGATGTCTTTTTCAGAATACCCGTTGGCAATTCAGAGTTTATACTGGAAGACGTTTTATTTGGAGTTGTCATAAGTGGCGGTGGAGATGGTATTAAATTTATGCTGCTAGAAGATATAGGAGGTGGAGTTGGAGGAGGTGGATGATCAAAGGATAAAGAATTTTCAGGTTTATTTACAGAATCGAAAGTTTTTTCTGAGAGTGTTGGCCTGGACTAAAAAACATAGGACTCACATTAAATAATACTGAGAAGATAAAATATCTGCTATAAATAGAAGAGATTAAACAAAGTTCTAATCATAAAAAGCTAAAATGAATGATTTAATTTTAATTACAAATAACAGATAACCACAATATAAATGACTACAGTGACAAGGAGATCAATTCAGGCGTAAGACTACCTATTTACTAAAGCACCAACTCAAAGCCTCTAACGATTTTACTTATCGATCCTTTTATTGATGATGTCAAACAACATCACAACATAAAGTACATGGCTCAAGATGTAAGAAGACTTTAGGATGAATATACATCTAAAATCAGAATGTCAAGAAAATATTTCGACAGTTTTCATTTGATAGAAAATATTTTGGGCAATCTTGCCCTACGAAGCAGTAATTATAGCCTTCAGATATTCACTATTTGTCTTCAGTCTTATCTCAGTACAGGTTTTCATTCAGCTTCAAGGAATTTTAATTGATCAACTGACGTCGCTTTAAAAACCACTAGAAACTGGAGGACACTGAATGCTAGTTTTGTCCTACAACGCAAGGATTAAACTTCAAAATCTGGATTCTCGAAGAGAGTTTATTATCTGTACTCCTGAATTTATTGACAAATGTTTTCAAAAATTCTGTTTTTTCATACAGCTTGTTTGCGTCTTATGTTTTGAAAATAAATTTCACACTTCTGAAACTGTTCACACAAAATTTCAGGATTCATTATTGATATTTCTGTAAACCATCAAGAAACAATCACTGATGGGCAGTTCATTTTTACATAAACAGGTAGTTTGATGAAAATAAATATTTTAGAGTTCACTGAAACTACAGACTAAGAACCCGTAAACGAGTGGCGGTCAATGAGTATTTAAAATAACCACAAATTAGTTCCTAAGTGATATATAGTTTCCATTCGATTCTTAATCGATGTAAGTTCCAATTGAATTTACATTTAAGTACATTATTACTTCAAATTTCTATTGAATTTATTATCCCAGTTGTTTTTAATCACTGATTATTCAACATTTCTGGTCTCTAAAAATTGATGAGATTTCAGCAGATTCTGCAATTTGTATTATATTTTTATTGTTGTCTGATAAGAACACAATCCTCATATCAGCAAAGCCATCGTGTCCTTACTTTTTAAATATTAGATTACTCAAATGTGTAAAGATATTTCCTTTAATGGAGTTTTACATAAATATTCCACTAACTCTGCTTTTTTTTTACATATTTAGAAGTTTGAGTCTGTACACTAAATACACCAGTTCCGACGCATTTAGTAAATGTATGACTAAATCGAATTGTCACATAAAACGAACATCGATCGGAACCTTACAAAATTTTCAGGATTCTAAAGTTGAAAAACCAGCGAGCAAGATACATTTAGTCGTAGAGCATAAAATTATCAATACTAATAAAACTATCGAATCCTCAATTAATATACTTACCTTTAAGCTAATAGTCAGATTACATTCTGCTTTTTTATATGGTCCATTTTGGAACACACTTTTAGATAAAGTTCCAGTTGTTAGAACTGGTTTACTAGACGGTGGTGCGGGGGCTGGTGTTCTGTATGAAGGTACGTCCATTGAGGATACCGATGGACTGGGATCTAGTCGAAGAGACTTTAATTTTTCTCCACAGATAAAATCATTGGACGAAGATTTATTTGTTGAGTTTTCTAATAGTATTGAGAAATTATTCTGATTTCTATAAAATGAGTCTCTACAAATGGTTTTGTAACCATTTTCAGTGTTCCTAGGCCAGTGATTTTCTACAGATTCACAATGTTTGTTTGAAAACTTATCCTCATAATTGGACTTTTTTGCTTTTGAACTGTAAATGTTGTCTGAAGATTCGTAAAATTTGTTACCTATAGAGGAAATTTTCATTATGAATACTTTATTGATCAAGAATGAGTTTGAAAATGACAGGAAATAAAGAAATCCTCTGTCATTGGAACAATTTATTAAATTATAACGATGGAAATGGAAGTTTAGCGCTGTTTATTCAGGTAATCAAAATTTAACGAAAATAGTGCATCGTCTCATTTATAATATTCACATAATATGCATTAATGAAACAAATGTATATTACTCAAAACCATAAGTCAGACCGTTCGTTCTAAGCGTATATGAGTATTCGTTCATATCGAAGTCGATATAGAGAAAGCCGATCAGAAGTAGCCTAATCAGAAGTTCAACCTATGACAATCAGAAATGACCTAAAAGACAAGTGCATTTCATTGGCAAAGAAATGGATAAATATCTTATGGATTAGAGTAGTATACATATGGATGAGTCTTCGTGCATTTTATTCAGTGTCCCAATACACTGTATCTCTCACTCTTGTGTTCTCGCTCACGTAGTCAGTTGGGAAGTTAGCGCGTAGCACACTGCGTATCAGTATCGGATTTTGGACACCACCCGTAACAACAGAAGTCCATAGAGTTTATGAGTAGAATGAATGATATATTACGCCAGTTTGCTTACAGACTTATAAAAAATGCAGTTGTTTGTAAATGTCTGAATATTTAAAAATGTAAATCCCACCAGAAATCCAAATCAGCAAACAACAAGTGAAAATTAGGTAGATTATTTATTATGGATTTTCCTTCTGTCACTCTCGATTACTTGGTTGCAAGATAATACTCTTAAAATATAAGTTATTATGTATGCATATAAAAAAATTATTTGCATCTTTCAGACTAAAACAATATCAGTATGGCCAAAATAACGGGAAAAATAGTATGAATATTGTCTAAAACTATCACTTACTTTTTGCGGACTGATGTGATAATTTGGGAGTTGAATTAATTTGATCCGAGTCAACAGTTATCACTTTTAGACCTAAAATATCACTGGAACCTCTAATAAGTGAGACAACAGCTTCATGTGACATTGTAGTAACGTTGATATTATTTACCTGAAGGAGAGAAGTATAAAATAGTTATAAATAAATGAACTGGTGTTTTACGAAAAATGTTATTCACATTATGCAAATAAGATTGGCGTTTTTCGGGATACGATATTGAAATGTTTTCGTCGGTGTCAAAAGCACTCTTGAAGTACCATGGGAACAACAGCAACACAGACATGGATATTCTCTTCTACTGATAACCTATCAAATAACAATACTTATCCATACCATTGAACGACAGGTAATAGAGGAATAATATATTGTTCAGCAAACCGATGAATTTCCTCTTTTACGGCCAGAAACGTATTACGCGGTCGACACTGAATTGTTTAACTGAAACGAAGTAATTAAATTAATAATCACTAATAGTAAAAAATCTGCTCATACATGTTCAGTCACTTTACCATTCTCTGAAAAATTCCATCATTGTCCTCAGTAACTGTTTTGATGTGAAATTCGAATAAAACAACTGGGGTCCAACCATCTGGATTATCATGTAGGTGCTGAATTTACAGTGTATTTAGGATGTTGTTAAACGTTTTGCAATAATTTTCTGGATTTCCATTTATTTCCCCCAATATTCTGATAATAACACAAGATCGATATAATTTTATACTACTTATATTGAAAACAGTAACTAAACACGTACTGTTAAACCTAAACAAACCAAACGGTTGATAAGCGACATAGAAAGAACCAAAAACTTGTTGATATTTGTAGTCAAAATCAGTATTTTACTCATCTTGAGGCTTCAAGATAAAAAAAATTCAAAGACTTTAATATACCTTCCATTTAATTTCCAATTTTATTAGTTATTTAAGTAATGCCAGGAACGGACTACATGTAATTGTTTGCATATTACCGATAAATGCTAAATAAACAATGTATTTTATGATGACTTTTAAGCAACTACTTTGTTCATGGCTATAACTACTGGTGCACAGAGATTCTTTGAAAACTGTAAAAGCAAATCATCATAATGACGTAATTTTTGTGAGATCTCTCTAAGTAGGATGAAGTAACGGTTTCTACTCAGCCTTTTAAATGTTCGTTGATGGCATTGAAGCATACTAAAAGTGTCTATTTCTTTATAAATCAGTAACATGTAAGAAAAACATTTTAAAAATACTGAAAGTGAATAGTGTTCTGTTTGTTTATAAGTACGTGTGCAACCATCCATCCAAAAGTGATTATCAATCTTTCAAAAAAATTTCACTAGTATTTACGATAAGAAATAACTTAGTTTACTGTTAATTTTGACGGACGATATTACTTTTCTCACGAAAATTAGTATTGCATGTCAAGTACTTCTGTTGGAAAACAAACGCTGTAGATGTAATTAGCTAATGAATTTATAGAGCTTTATGAAGCCCGTTAGACTTCTGATAGACCAATTTTCCTAAAGTATGGTTTGAAGACTTTTTGTGAATGTTTGATATGAAACTTTGAGTAAACTGAAAGTGTTATTTACCTGCCTTCTTTTAAAAAATATTTTTTCGCTGAAATTTCACATATATCCCCTTTACAGTTACTTTTGATTATTTTTCATGGGAGATTGATGTTAATTACAATGTTCCTAGAATCTTAACGTTTTCGAACAAGTGAACTGAAAAATAGCAACATTTCCATGCTAAACTAAAACAACATAAATCCTTGAACGATAAATTTGAGTGTTTAACATTTATCTCACACTGAATAAATTCAGTATTAAACAAACATTCTCTAACCAACTTTCCAAGTTCATGACAGTCGTTTCTTAGAACGTTGTATGAAAAGTATAAATACTTGCATTCATACTATTCATCCAAATTTGCTTAATGTTTAATATCACTATAGTCTTAACAGTAATAATGTTCGTATCTAAGAGGTACTATTCAGATTTATGACTAAAATTGCATTTTCAAATGATCTCCATCATAACAACAGCTGGAATACACAGGTTCCAAAATTACATAAACAAAACATGAAAATATAACAGCTGAATTCGCAAATCGAAAACCTACAAGCACCGGTGGACCGTTTCACTCTAGAACGGGATGTGTCAGCAGTTCACATCCACGATCGCGCACGTGAGACTCGTACATGAGACTTTCGAACACGCACGCAAACGCTTAACCTCTTCACCACTGAGCCAGCAATGTTAAAGTTTAACTTCAGTTGACCTATGGTATTGCGTGGTCTAGAGATTAGGCGTTCGCACGTGAGACCGAAAACGTGGTTTTTTCTTTAGTAATATCTAAAGGTCACTAGAATCGATTGGTTTTCTGTGAAATACGTTTATTATTCTTTTTTTCTGCTTCAGATATTTGGTTAAAAGATGACTTTAAAATACATTAGTTTGAGTGAAATTAAATGAATAGGTTAATTCACTAAATACTAATTGATACCAGTCTAAGTATGCTTATTCGATAAGTAATTAGTAATGCTTAAAAGCTTAGTATTAGCTCAACCACATATTTGACACTAAAATTTAACTTACCTCCAATATAAAATCACCTGCTTTCAAACCTGCCTTGCTTGCTGCACTATGGGGTTCAACTTTCTCAAGGTATTGTGATGCTGGACACTCAAGACATGGTGTAAAATTTCCAGATATTCCTATACAAAAAGGCCAAAGATTATTACACATTATTCACAGTTTAATCGTTCACAGAGTAATTCTGGTAAATTCAATTTAGATTAATTTTAGTAAAAAAAGAATTAGGATAGAATGGTTTATGAAATTTGGAAGATTTTCTAAAGACATTTCTAATTTGATATGACCATATGTTACTAATATCAACTCAAAATGAATAATTCTCTCTTTTTGTTTAAGCTTTTGACTTTATTAATAATAAGCAATTCAAAAGTAACCGATGAGTAAGTTCACCATTTTCAGTTTATTTCACCGACGTCAATCAACTTTTCTTCGTATACCGTAACATACATGGTATTGTAATACAATATTTTTGATCACATAGCTGTACAGGTTGAAGACAAATGAGTTATAGGTTAAAGAATTGATTGCTTTGGCTTGATATCTATGAAAAGTATTTACTTTCTGTTGTGTTGTTTCACTTGCACTAACCTATGATTGAATAAGCTGTTTAAACCCAATCACATATTTTCTTATTGCATATATAGATTTGCGTTAAAACACTTACTAAAACAAACCTTATGTAAAACAACCATTTATGAGTGGTAACTGTTAAAGACGTTACAGTCTGATATTGATTTTTACACAGTTGACTAATTTGAACTATCTAGTATATTCTTTTTAATTTGACTGTTTTCGTGATTAAAATAAGTACAATAATCCGTGACAAACAAGTTGTTTAATTGACCACAAAAACGGAAAATGTATTTCCCATTCAAATATTAAGGTAAAGGGATGATTAATAATTCCACCTTTTTTCTAACAGTGCTTGAATTCCGGTTTACATGAAAGACTGGATTTATCATTATTTAGTTATATATAAATTTGAAGTTTCCAATATTAGCTTATGTAACATATTCTTTACAATTAGACCATAGTTTAGGACATTTAACAAGATAGTAATACTCAATTGGTATTTTAAAACTTTGAAAATTGTTTCTTTGACAGGAAAGAATGACAGGTATCTCCAAATTAACAGTGAATAAGCATATTTTTATGGAATGTTACTAAAGTAACAAACTTAATGACTTACAAGAGATAACTATTAATCGGATTACTAATAAATTATTGATTGTATACGTTTATGTCTACACAGGAATTTGTTTAAGAGGCTACGCCCACATATGTATGACTCACGAGTACTATCCTTTTTATGGGAAAAAGTAATGGGTAACGCCTCACCTGAACTAGCCAATATACTCTATGTATATGTGATTTTATGAAAAGAATGTTAGCCACGTTCTAATAGTAATCATTATTGTCGTTATCGCCATTAAAAAAATAAGAACGAATAGGTGAAAAATGCGATTCTCATCGAGTTTTAAAATGTTATTCGTTTATTTTCCATTGCAGACTGATGTAGTGAAAGGAGCATAGGAACTAAAGCATCTGATAACGTAAAATAAAATAACTTGACAGTCGAGGTTTCGTAGACGAAATTCAATAAAACAAATGAAGTTGAATGTAAGAAGAATGTTGTAAAAATAACAGTGGTCTCAATTTATCCTAAGAAAGAAATTAGTTAAGAATATTAGTATTTACATGTATACATTTCCACATATATACAAATATATTTATTACTCGTTAATGTCATGATTAATACCGAGTCAATATTTTGAGTACCGATGAGTATTCTAGTCTAAAGAACTAAAACAAAAGTTATTCAGTGAAAAAATATCTAAACTTACCACCAAAATCTCTGATAAACACATTGTCAAACTGGCAGTGTCGTAGACGCATAAATAAATTTAAATCTCAGATGAGTTTAAATAAGCAACAAACATTATCTGCTCCTGTATTAACTTATTCAGACCCACAGAGAACCTAAATGTTAGTTTAGATGACTGCCTTTCGTTCGAGTGTTTTCAGTCAAAAATTAATGTACATGAATGCGAGTAACCAACTCTAGAGTGCATATTCGAATTATATATTTGACTATGAGTAATCATGGTACAACTTTCATTGAGGTATTTTTTCACTCGGAGAAAACAATTGAATAGTTTATAAATTGTTACAAAAAGTAAAACATTGCAATTTAATTCCTGTTCAATGATTTGCCCACCTTTTTTACCACGTACAACAAATCCAAAACCATTCGGACCTCTTTGAAGTGCAATCATTCTAGGTAAGTTGGTGGTATCCAAATCCCTGTCAAATAATTAATTACACACAAGAACGAAAATGAATGCACATAAAAATTATTTTAATATCATAATAGAAGGCAAAATTATTACAGATCAAACTTAAGAAGTTTAGTTTATCCTAAAATATATGACTAAAAAGACGTTTGAATAAGTGATGAACAAAATTCACTTCCAAATTAGCAAAACAATAGCTCACACTCAAACAGAAATGTCCTTTCTCAATTGAAAATTATTTACTTTAGCCCGTAAAGGATACCAACTTGAAACGTGTAAATCTTCTAGCAAGTTATAATTCTTTATGTTACAAAATATAAATATTTTTTACAGCATTATCAATGCATAACAATTCAGAACGACTACTGAATATAATTGATGAATCTGAAAATAAGGCATACAGAATAATCTAAATGTTCAAACCTTGTATATCCTTAATAGAATATAATTCTAAGCCCAATCATAGAAACTTTGAGCAGTTATAGGGAAAGAAGGTCGTATCTCGATTCATTTGTAAATTATTATTACTATTACTTACAATTTCATGCTAAGTATATAAGTGACTTTTCTAAAACACTTTTGTTATTACTTAGTGTCTTTAGAAAACGGTAAATATCTATGTTACTCAATATGATAAATGAATTCAAGTGAAATGGAAGCATCTTTATCTTGTCCATGTATATATAGTATCTTTATTTATTCTACCGCATTTATTTACAAATTGTAGATTGGTTATGGAATACAAGTGTATTATATATAAACGCCAACTTATATACCTGTACTTAACATAATTAAAATAAAGTGTATATTTGTTAGTAATAGTCATATGTAATTGTCTTGATATGAGATCAGTGTTAAGGCTATGACCACCACATACGATTGTTCAAAAACATCAATTCATGTGTATCAACCTACTTACAATGCAAATTCAACGAAATCTAACAAACAATGTATGTTTATTGCGTAACAGTCTTATACTATAGACTAAACAACTGCCGTATACAACTAATTACAGGATATATTGTTTGGATAAATGAATGAATGTAAAGAAAATAGCATATGTAAAATATTATTTGGATTTTGATTATATCATATGAAAAATATACAGTTTATAATCCAGATCAATAATTCGCCATTAGTGAATATTTTGGTACTGAAAATTAACTGAAATGACAAAGTCGTAATCCATTTTTTTTAAAGCAAATTGTTGAATTCAAGAATAAGTTAATGCTTGTATAATGTATAAAATGATTTAGTTTTCAAAAGACCGTATTTTTTTTGCAGTATTCATTGTAATGATTTGATCAAGGCTAAAAGTCGGACATAATACTCAGCCTTACAAACCGTAACGATTAATCGGTATTTAAAACTCTCCTAGTTAAACTGAATTAAGCCAAAAAAACATGGATTTACTTCGTCTGAGAAATGATAGGAAAAATTTACATAAAACAACTTATAAAACTATGGTTCCAATAAGTCATTTATAACAGTATTTCTAAGCACATAATTATTTATTACTACATTAGAATAGCCGAATGAAAAGTTTGTAATTCTTGTCAGGATCTGTTGGTTGCTGAAAATCCGCTAAATAATAATATATGTAGTAACAGTTTCAGGACACTTTTCCTGTATTCGACTCTACATGAATTCGAGTTTCGTGATATTAGATTTAACAAGAAGATCACGGATGATGCCAAGACCTTAATGTCTGGTAGTGATCACGACATCTTTAACCGATTGGCTTGGAAATTATTAGTTATTTTGGTAAATTCTGATTAATATTTTCTACAAAGTGGTCCGTGTCCATTGCCAGAAATAAGAGTTTCAATCAATATCTCATACTTCTCGAATTATCGAAAGATCGTTTTAATCATTTGCAATAATTACTCTAAATTAACTCTTTTTCTTTAACCGTTTACGGTTTCTTAACAATAATGAATCCACGTTTGTATAAAGCATATTCACTTAAACTGCATGGTAAAGGTAGAATAAGTGAAACGGGAACAATACTTAATAGTAAGGCATATTGATTAAAAATGCTCTGATTTACTACAGCTGCAACGGTGGACACTTTTTAATTGTGCAGCAATTTGAAGATGACTTATGGAATAACAATGCGTGCTAAAGTACTTTAGCTGACCAAATGTTTTATATGCATGAAAGTTGCACTGGCTTAAGCGAACAAATAAAATCATTTAATTGGTGCGTATAAATGCATTTTCACAATTACTCAGTGTGACATCTTTGAGAAATTATATTTTGACTTGTTTGCTTTGAAAGATGATATTATATACATACTACCTAGACTTGTCCATTGTTTTCTATTAGTGATACTTAGAGGTTAGCCTGAATAGTGTTAAAAAAAACATATTTGTTTCACTGATAGAGAAGATGAATTCGCTTTGTAATGCGTAAACAACGAACAAGCTCATATTGACATTTTAAGTGAATAATCTTTCTGTAGGAATCAGTTTGAATTCATATAAGAAGCTATGGACTTGATATCAGTCACTGTTGAATTTCGCATCACTGAGTGTAGCAAAATTGATGAAATATTTATTGCTGTGTACTGTGAGTTTTTCTGAACATTGACAGATGGATTTTGTCGTTGTTTAAGTTTTCCGAAGTTGGTAATGTTTTGATGAATCCTAAAGCTTATAAATTGAACTCTAGCAAATACTTTTCCTGATCTTAACTTTTAGATAGACGAGAGAGTTGATCAAATAAAACATTTTTACATAAATTAGTCTACGAAAGATATTGTAGATTCATAAGCCAGAGACTATCAGCAAATGCAGATTATGGTAGGGAACAAACCTACTTCCAGATCAGGAGGAAATCAGGAAATGACGCTGGAGTTGAATAGGATACCCACTGCGGAAGTTATCAGACAAAGCAAACCCTGACTTGGAGTCCTCGACGCAAAATGAAAAGGGCAAAATCAACGAACACATCATATGGAAGTGAAGACAGACATAAAAAGGATGAGTCGTACTTGGCAACAGCTAGAAAGGAAAGCCCATGGCAGAGTATGTTGGAGATACTTTGTAGGCGGCCTAATTAAGTCGTAACTTATTAGAGCTTCAAGTGCATGAGAAATTTTGAAAAAACTAATGATATTCATTTATGAGTAATAAAAAGTACAAACAAGCCATGGATAAAATACATCACATTTACTTTTTGATTATGGTATATACATTATGAATTGAACGTAATCATTCATAGAAAAACTAAATATATAGTCTATTAAACCGCATCAAATAATTGTGATGACTCATTTTATGTTACATAGATATGAAAACCAGGTTTAATCTTGTTTAAAACTCAGCAAAATAAATAATAATTTTAAATAGGTACACTGTTCTAACACAGTAGTTTCCGTAAAGCATATATTTATGTAGACCGTTTCATTTTCAGTTAAACTAATTGAAATAACCCACTCATATGGAGAGATGTTTTTAAGCACTTTACCAATTAAGCTAATTTTCTCAGGTAACAATTAACACATTGCTATTACATAAATTTATTATTTTCTGATTTTATGTATTAAATAGATGGTATTAGCTAATAAATACTAACATCATTCAAATTTCGCCACTACTTAAAGAGATCATGACAGAATATTCGTTACTAGATCAATTTCAAATGACATTTGTGAACTTGAGTATTGAGAAAAAAATTTAACCTTGTTACACTTCTTACATTGTTAACAGAGAATGTAAGCAAAGAATAGATCAGATGAAACCACTGCTTGGAATATTAGGATGATTGAAGACTCAATGTATAAATAAATTCTTTGAATTATTCAACTATTCACTAATCATTAATATTTATATTAAAATGAGTAGGATAGGTAAGTAAATAAAGTATACTGTAAACCACAAAAGTTTATTTTAAAACACATACTTACGCAATACTTTCACGATTTGCCAATAACAACTGCAAGATTGCTGATCCATTCCTAACACTATTCGTGGATGGAGCTGCAAAGAAATGTTTCAGAAATTAATTAGAATATAAATGTCATACAACCTTCCTTATTTACAAAATAGGATAAAGAAAAAACAACAAAAATGTAAATGAAACACTGATTCATAAATAGTAATGTTTTCTCACTAAATTGGCAACAAAACACGAAAGTTTGATGGTAATATTACTACCTGTATTTATTCCGTTTAAAATGAATTGAACCAGGCAGGTGTAAATATATTTCGATCAATATTGAAACCTGGAAGATCCGGATGGTCGCTTTGTTTTAATATAAGACTACTCAGAAGATCGCATACACGATCCCACATACGGGACTTCATCTCTCTATAAGCATATATCATTTCAAAGTCAGACCATTGATTTTTTTTAGAACAGTATTATTTATTTATTACTTTCGATGCTGAATATTATGTCATGAATGAATAAAAGTACTAATCTTATTAAATAAACATTAAATCGACCTTAGAAAAAGCAAAATGTTCAAATAACTAATTAGAATAATGTCTAAACCTGATGTGACTAATCAATTGCGTGATATACATTATTTGACTAATTAAAAGATAAGTTCGGACGTTTCTATTGTTCAGTCATCTATCTAGTACTTTTTTTTCGAATTGATTTTATTAATAACCTTTGTAACAATAAATACACATAAATAAATCCGTTCATTCCAAAAAGTTGGTATAAGTAATGAATATATTCTGTGAGAAATAAGAAGCATGATAGTAATTAAGATTATAACATCTAAATAATAAAATTATAGAAATCTAATACTTTTTTGTATTATAGAAGAATCTCTATTTATATCTATATATATATAAGGATAAGTTTTGACAGTTGTTGCATCAGATATGCAGTTAAGTTTAATGATTAGATGAAAAACTCGGAATCATGAATAATATTTTAATTTACAATTTTACATTGAATACATTTCTAAACATTCAATTAGAAGTTTTAGTATAGTTGAATTTCAGCTAACACTGAGATCCAGATCTCCTACATAGTCCTATTTTGAACTCTATGTATGGATGTACCTATGTTTCAGTATTGATGTTCATAGTGAAACTCAAAACCAATCCATTACACTTCAAACACCAATCCATTATTCACTATTCTACCCGTTGAAGAATGTAATGGCATTATTGATAATAGGTAATAGATCAGGGTAGGGATGCATCTAGCTGAAGATTCTCAAATGGACTAATGTCCGCTGCTAGACACATTTTAACTATACTAAATCCTGTAACTAAAGTCAATATCAAAGTAACCAGTTCAAAATTCAGTCTTAAACATCAACAACGTAAAAACCCAAAACATCACAATTATTTTATTACAGTTTGTTAAAGTCGTTCAGATTGGTCTCATGTTGAAACAATTAATAAGTATAATGCGTTTCAGCTCATGAAACAAGATATAAGGTATTCCACATCGGTCACTACGCGAAGTATGCTTGGTAGCGAAGTTAAAATGATGATATTTTAGCTCTATATCAGATATGCAATATATTGCGTATATTCTGTCGTCAGTTAAGATTTAATTTATGGAAAAATATAATACAACGGTACGATATTACCATGAAATCAGTTGATCAACAATGTGTGCATAGTTTAATCACTTATAAGAAACTTTCATTGACAATTTAAATAATGAAAAGAAACCAGATTATTAAAATTGAATAAATTATGAAGTATTTTGTTGTTTAGTAGTTGAATTCATGAGTCAATTGAAGGTAGATTACCATGGAAAACCTGGAAGCACTGGACGGACAGGTTTTCCATGATGGTCTATCTTCAATTGACTGATGAATTCAACTACTAAATTACTATAATATCCATAAAACCTCTCTCTGATTATTTTGTTGTTGTTGAATAAAGTGAACACACTGATCTATGAAACATTCGAAAATTTGGCAGTCGTATAAATTTCATTTTATTCATTCTATTTAGTAATGACTAAATCCAGCTTTAAAGTTACCAAGACTAATAATTTGATATATTTTATGATATTGCTTAACTTTTAACGTTATTTACCTCTAAGAGGTTTTCAATAATGACTCATGTAATAACAACTTCTGACTACAATTAATAACTATATCAGTGACCAATAATGTTTCTTTACATATTTCTCATGTACCTATAAACGGCATTGTTACTTCCGTTTAGGATTTCTACAGACACGTTTTATTCAACAAATATTTCAGTATTATTTGCCTAGAACCGACGAATATTATCATAATTGATTATCTTACTTTATAATATTCACAATCCAAATTTTCATGTATATAAAGAAGGGTTAACTTAAGATGTATCAGTCTTTAACCCCATAAGTGTTCGGTTTCTAATTAGTAATTTTAACACATTAATGATTGGAAATCTGTCAAAAGACTATTCTAATATATTACAACAGCTTTTCTTTAAAAAACATTCAAAACATACCAGGCATTTCACTTAATTGTAATGGTATATTATCGAATCGTACTTTTGCATTTGGCTTTCTTCTCGAACTCCGAGTAGTTTTCACCATTTATAAAATAATTCTTCTAGAACTGCAGAAATTTTAAATAAAATATCTTTTTTTCCTGGTTAAATAAAATAAATTTTCACGTTTGTCTTGGAATGTAAACTCTTGCCTGACTACATTATATAGTTAAGTGAAATTTTACAACTTAATACGCATTGGTTTACATTTATAATTTAACAATGTCATTTTAAACAACCAGTTTAATTAGAGCATAAAGAAAGGAATGCATTCACCTAATTATTTATATACAAGCTCATATGCTAAAGAGTATTGTGTGTACCGTGTTAGTTATTGAAATTATATCTCTATCAAAAAAGAAAATATCTAGACATACTTTTGCAATTGATTGATCACTGGGTGGTGATCAGTGTCATGTATGTCAGGTCCTTCTTAGTGCAGATCGAATCCTATCGATCAAGTTGCAATGTGGTCACCAGTCTAGGTGACCCGACATTCCAGGCACTATGTTGAAACAAAATGATGGTTGGAGGTAGTAAACAGGAAACCCTGGTAACGTCTCTGACTGTGAAGCTGGGTGACACGAGATCGAATCCGTCAGGGAGCATAAGTTCCCTCAAAATCACAGGTACACTTTGCTGACGAGTGCCAAGTAGCACGAAACCTAGGTCCAGGGTTTCCAGTTGACTACTTTCAACCACCATCTTATATCCAGACGTACTATTGTACAGCGTTCTAGATAACAATAAATATCATACCTCATAAAATTCTATATTAGTTATGCTTAAGTAAAGTGCACATAAAATAGTGAGCTGTTTAAAAATCAAATTATTCTAACAAATGATTAATGCCACCTTACTACCCACACTTTAGAGAGTGTTCCTACATTGAACGATTACTATACAGCAACTGACGCTATATGTATCTGGTCCATAATTCCGATCAAAATTTATCTAATGGTGCACTGACGTTCTGTATACCATGTTTTGACAAGTAGTTGAGGATAATCAACTTCTCAATTTAAAATTTTGGCATAAATCTCTTAAAAACCATCACTTCCTAAGGATTAGGGTACCTTTTCTTCATGTGTTCCAACTGGTTAAAAACCTAGGTTTGGAGTTTCCTGCCAACTACTTCTAACCACATACCTGATACTACATCTGTTTGATATGTGCTAATAGATTAAATACTATTTAAGTAATTACTTCAGTATTTTCTTACAAAAATTTACAATTAGCCGTTCACTACGATTTAGGATCTTCAACTATCGATTACAACTTATGAATAATTATCTCACATTCATTTAATTCTTTTCTAATTCATCCCTTGATTTTATTTTTAGAGGATAATAAACGAAATAAGTTCTCGAATTTCATCATAATCTACATTAACCCATTTGAAGCCTTTATTTTACGCTGACTATCTTTCACCAAAAACTAGTTCAGTAGGAAACGAATGATTTTATATTTCTTATTTTATTCAAGGTATGTAATGTTTGTTTTTGTAAACACCAAACTTCGGATAAGCTTGAAAATAATCAGATTAAGTTACTTCATTACTGATTAGATATTGTGGTACGTAGAGAAGATGAACAGAAAATGAGTGGTAAGTTGACTCATTTTTCAAATACAGGTTTGCGTTATTTGCTCTGGACTACAATACTTATAAAAGTGATGGTAATACTATCTGGCACTCTAAACCATAACTGGGAAGTCATCATACAGACCAGAGACCTTATTAGACGTTTCATACTTAAATAACACTTGATTACACGACTAAATTCATGTATGCTTTAAAGAGCACAACGTCCCATTGATACTAAATATTTTTGCATCAATCAGCAAAAGATTTGAATATAATTTCCTGAAACGTATTGACTTTATATTCGAATGCATTTTATGTAATGTAACAATGGTTGGTTGCGATCGGTTAGATCCTTTAAACTCAAGTTTCTTTCAGGTTGGCAATCCTCAACAGAGCTCATCTACAAACATTAGAACCTGCGTCACCTAATATCATAAACAGAAACATTACCACTGTAGTATTCAGGCTTTTCAGTGAATAAAAAATTAATATTAACAAAAAATCATGTTGTAGTCCACACTTTAGTGACTACGAATGCAGACTATAGGCCAGTTGCTTGTTATTGTGAATAGACACTTTTATTGACGGAATTCCAAATGCAACATCAAAACATTATTACCAAAAACAACTAGATATAAAGTTATTAATAACCTTAAACCTATAGAATGCTTATTCAGTTATTTCATACCTTGTTTAACAACCCATCCGCTATTTTCAACAGATTAAAATGCATTACCTTATAGTAAAAATTGGTAACTTGAAAGAGAAATCATTACTAAATAAATTAATAATATCTGGTTGGAGTGGCCACTGCATTTAATTTACCTAAAATTAACTTTATCATATTAAACATCAAAAGATGACCATACTTTCAAGATAACTTATCAAGTGATCACAAATATTAAGTGTTGGGAACATAAAATTGAAGCATACTTCAAACTGTCCAGGGTGCCATTAAAAACATGATCTGATATCGAGGTGAAAATGTAACCTGATAGACCCTGGATTTTGTAGAGTGAAAAATAGTGTATTACTAAATGAGATTTATTATGAGTGTTCATGATGATAAAAGTGCCAGCTTGTTTTTTTGTAATTCTGTCAAAAATACTTATTTATTAACATCAAATTCTACGATTTACTTAGAAGTTCCTTATTTTTCAAATAGTGAAATTTATCAGAACGTCAAGTTTATGTAAATGTCTGAAATATCTTGATAAATGCAATGAACAAAATTATTTAAGGTTATTTAATAATGAAATGGGTTGTGTGTTTTACACTAGTTCAGTAGCTATAGTACTTGGTATAAAACCGGTAGATAACATACTCGAACAACTCTACCCCGTCGTTAATTTTGGTAGCCAGTTAGTTTTACCAGCCGATACACATACAGTATGACTCAAATACAAAAATACACTTGTGTTCGACAAACGAGTCAAATAAATAATTAGTGATATTATTTTATTTATTTACGTAAAATGTTAGTATAACTTAAATGATGATTACTAGTATAGGGGTTGTGGAGATTATTAAGTTTTTTTTATTGAGATCATGATCATGATCTCCACAACCCCTATGCTAGTAATCAACATGTGCTCACTAGTGACTAGCTT